ATGTATTATGTATTTCAGTCATACTCATTCCCATTACACTTGATTTTCTTTAACATACTCATAGTAGTAGTCTTAAAGTCCTCGTCTACTGACCTGGATCATCTGGAGTCTGCTTTAATGGTTTAATGCTTTTTCTCCTGATTCTCCATTTTATTTCCCTGCTTCTTTATATATATGTACATAAACAATATGTATTTTGTGTGCTAGATATTGTGTATAAAGGAAACATAGTGTCTAAAATTGATATTCTTTTTTCCCCAGAGAAAAGAATGTATATGTTGTTAATTATATTTAGTAAGAGGCAAATCACCTCAAACCAGTTAGGAATTACACTCATTCAGAGCTTAGTTACAGTTTTATTTAGACTCAGTCTGTGTGTAAAGGACAATACCTTTTTGTTTCAAGCCCCACCTGTACAGGATGGAGTCTCTCAGGGGTGTTCTTGGCTGTTTTCTCTGTTGACACTCAGTCCCTAGGTGGTGCATCTAGTCTTTTTTAAGTTCAGTCTTTTGCTTTTGGTTCCCAGCTCTAGGTTCAACTGCTTCCAGTAAGAAACAGCACATTCAAACAGGATGCTCGAGGAAAGTTTAACAAAGGGAATATATACAAAGATATGGGTAGGATTCAGAGAAACAAAAGGATGTTGACACTCCCTTAGGATAACAATACATAGAAATTAGTACCACTCCTGGACCTGAAGGGACAAAAGGAGGGAGCAGTTACCAGACCTACAGCATCACAGTAGTAGAGTGACCATTCCAATAGAAGCTGTGGGGAGTGTTGCTAACCTACATGACCTGGTAGGGAAGAAACTGGGGTATAACTCTCATCTTTCCTTTCTTTGCTCTCCTGCCAGAACCTTTCCCATTAAAAAACCCAATTAGAAGTTGGAAGAGCAGGGCATTTGTTGATGTAGTCTGTAAAGGTCACTCTTTGGGACACAAAAGGTAAGAGTTAATCTGAAATGATCAAATAGAAGTACTCATCAATTTTCTACTGGTGAATGGCTAATAAGCATCTCAGTGATGGTATATGATAGGTCATGGGGTAAGTGGAAAGGAAGTCTATAAGCCAGATGCAAAATTGAAGCTCATAAAGAGTGACGTAGCAAATTGAAGCAATTGATAGTGGTGGAGGGTGATATTGATCTATCAATCATTCTAGCTCCAAAAAGAATGTTTTTATGTAAGAGAAAGGAATAGTGGTTTGAAAGAGGCACTGTGAGGCATTTGAGCCCTATAAAATGTAGGAGAACAGAAGGATACATACCATTTATTTTATATTCCTACAGAAGTAAAGTCTTTGTGAGGAGAACCAGGCACCAGTCATGGTGCCAGTGAAGACCAGAGAGTAAAGGAAACTTTCAGCACTCATGTGTTTCCTGAAGCACTGAACAAAGTGGAGATTGAAGTAGAGGAGATCCTTAAAGGTGTTCAGTTGATGGTGGCACTACCCTTCCCAAGGAGTGTTGGAAAATATGACCAGTATTTTTCACTTGTGCAGTGACTGAAGAGTGTATTATGTCAGCAGCGTGTGAAATTTGTTTTGTTTTGTGGTACCGGGGATCGAACTCGGGTCCTTGCACTTGCAAGGCAGGTGGCAGAACCACTGAGCTAAATCCTCAGCCCAGCAGCATGTGAAATTTGGAAACCAGGAATGGTAACATCCTATAGGGTTCAAGACAGTATCCACAACTGTCCTACCCCAAATGCCAAAACATCTCCTACTGATGATGGAAGGGGCTTACCTTTTGTATCATTAAGGATCACAGAAATATGAGACATGGCATTCTTGAGGATCCAAAGGAGTGCTGATCTCACATTCAGGCACAGCGCCTGTGGCTTATAGTACTTATAAGAAGGAAGTGGGAATTTCTTTGGATAAGAACTCAGTAGTTTAGACTTGATGTAGTTGGTGAGGGGGAGATCTTCCAGTAATGGAATATTTTTATACAACAAATTAAACATCCTTATTTCTAATTTTTTTTTTGCTCTTCATTATTAAATAGACTTAGATGGAAAAAAGGCTTTAATTAAAGACTAGCTGTCACCATTTAGAACTCTGAGAGGGAAAGCTGTATAGTCAGTTCTATGAAAACCTGTATGTTTTTTGTAGAAACATTTCAGATTGAACTATTTCATATTGGAATTAAAAGTTAATCAGTAAGTTTTCAAGTGGAAAGGAACCTCAGAACTACCTTGAGCCCACTATCATGCTTCTCAATGCTTCGATATAGAAATATAAATTGTATTCTGTTTTTATCGCTCATGCCATATAATCAAATGAATGGCTGCCTACTTGAAACTTTAATTTTAAATGTAAATGTGTTTAAAAATGGACCAGAGTGTATATAAAATGGGCAACCTGGCATATACTTCTATTCTCATTTATAAGGAAAAGTTGTTTACATTTCCAGCTTTCAGTCTTAGATAAAAGACTTCATCATCTTATATGTAATGCGGTTTTCTGGGCTGCTGACATCTTCATCAGATTTGACTGAAATTTCCTTTTCTTGAAAGTGAACGGGCATTTTCTTGCTCTCCACACACATGAACTTCACTGCTAGGGGACCCAAATCCACATGTTTCTATCAGTGAAGAGACAACAAATGGAGAGATTATTTGGCAAGTCAACCTTGATAGATTAGGTTTATTGTGTTTGGTTTTTATCTGACAGATTTTCTTGTCCTCTTGATTATCTATCTGAATGCTATGGAACACATGAAATATAACTTTAAAGAAAACCACACTTTGTGAGCTTATATACCCAGTGGAATATAGACAAGTTCTTCCAAAGAGCAGGCAGCAGATCCTCTGCAAGCTTTTGTTTTTTGTACTGGGGGTTGAACCCAGGACCTTGTATATGGTAGGCAAGTTTTCTACCACTGAGCTACATTCTCATTACCCCGTATAAGATCTTTAGTTGGTAGAAGAATGCTAACCATATATACACAGGCTATTAGCTAGGAGATAACCACAACAAAATTTTCTGTATTATTCAGGAACAAAGGGAAAGACTCTACAAATGTCACTCTGACTGCAAATATTCTAACATTGAGCAACTTTTCCATAAATTTTGTTCTTTTCACATAATCCTTGGCTATTATATAAATAAAATTTACTACATTCTGCCAAACTATAGTGTAAGGTATCAACAAACAGAAATCTAGTTTATGTGAAATCCCATAGCTAACCCAAAATAGGTTGAAAAGCCCAGGCCCTTATGCAACATTCTTTCCTTTGGGAAGCCTGTCAAGCTATAACTCAACTTTTGAACTTCTTCAAAACTTTAGCAAAGCTTTCCTGAGTGCCCATTATGTGACTGGCCCTGTATCAAGTGCTGGGTTATAATGAAAAGCACACAGACTTGTCAGAGAGACCTACAAATACCTTGGCATGTAGGGATTATTAATATTTACTTGAATTTAGGAGAATCAAAGAGAGCAAAAAGGCACTGTTTTATTTCCTAAAAATACTTATAATTGTATTTTGTTTTTAAAATGTACTATTACATAGCTATAATAAATGTAAGATAGGAGACAAAGCAAACTGACAGAAGTCTACCACATACACTATGGACATGACAGTTCCACATTAGAAACTCATATACAAGTTAAGAATGCCTTTTATTAAACTCAATGGCATAGAGTTTGGAATTGTGTATACAAATTTTCACTAGTCTGAGATCATCATGACATGACAGGAGTCATGGTTCTAAGATACACATGTGGTTATTTCAACAGTAGAGAGACTAGAACTTTATCTGTTACTATTATTTTTGCAGAGCTGGAAATCAAATTTAAGACCTCGTGCATGTTAGGCAAGTGTACTTCCTCAGCCCTCGAATTTTAGTCTAAATCTTCACTTGATGGTAGAATTTTAATTGGCAAATGGTGGTTTATTCAAATTCTTCTGTTTTTTATTTGTCTGCCTCCTACCAGATATAAAGTTGTATGTGAACTTTTAAATTTCTGGGCAATTTCAAGAAAAAAAATTGCAAGGGGTGATTTGCGGGGGTGGGGTGATATACCAAAAAGAAATTTAAAATTCAAAGGCTTGATACCCTAGGTTTGGATTAATGGTAGTATATGTGCAGTTCGTATGCTCCAAAAATGTCCTGATACATATCCTATCCCATACACTTTTCTTAAATATGATACTGACTTTCCTCCATCAAGATATAGGAGTTATGTTTCTATGCTTTGATTGGAACTTAGTAACTACATCAACCAATAGAATATGAAGGAAGTGATGATATATAATTTCCAAGGCTGTCATTCAAAACACTGACACTTTTATCTTGCTTGCTCTAGGAGAGGCCAGGCACCATAACAAAGGGACACTTAAGCCCCTCTTTGGAGAGGCCTACAGGCAGAGGAACTGAGGCCCCAGTTTAGGCAGCAGCGTCTTGTGAACCATGTGGCTAATCCACCTTGCAAGTGAATCCACTTGCCCCCAGTCAAACCTTCATGTGAGTGCAACTCCACCCAACAGATGATTGCAGCTGCCCAGAAGCCTAAGTGAGAACTATCTAGAAGAGCCCTTCCCAAATTCCCCACCAACAGAAGCTCTGAAAGTATTGTTCTAAGCCACTAGGTTTGGGGATAGTTTATTATGTGTAGTGTTAGATCACTTACATTGTATACTAATAATGGAGGTTCATAAATAAATACATATAGCAAATTGGCCAAAAGTAGGAGTGAAAATAGTATTCAGTGAGAGAGAGGAATGATGAACCAATTTTATTTTATTTTTATTTATTTGAGGGGGGAGTACCAGGGATCAAACTCAGGACCTTAAGCCAATTTTATTAATAAATGCAAATAGGAGCTCTCAATACCCCTATTTTAAGCTAATTTTTCTAAGTGTTCTCTTAGTAATCAGAATTGTGGTAGGGCCAGGGATTTAGCTCAGTGGTTTCGCTGCTTGCTGTGCAAGCACAAGGACCCAAGTTCGATTCCTGGTACCAAAAAAAAAGAATTGTGATGTCATGAATCTTACCTTGAAATCCCACTCATCCTCATACAGTAAATATTTCACGTGAGAATCCCCAAACTCTGTACATGAGCAGTCCACTTCATCTATCTTTAGGTTCTGGACATTTCTGCCACTGTCTTCAAGGCTGAGTTGGATGGAATTGCTTTCACCTGATGAGCTCGATGTGTCTCTACATTCTCCTATGGGTTGCAATTTTGACTTGTCTTCTGATGAATGCAAAGAAATTATATATATATACTTGGAACAGGTAAATAAAATGCAGCACATCTTTTGTCACATTTTTAATTTGAAAGAGCATTAGAAATGTAGAATTTATAGATTAAAGTATGAGGGGATATCATTTTAAGAAACTAAATTGTATTTTCTGTCACCTAATAATTTACAGTAATCATTTGGAACCTATATGTTTTGACATTTTGGTTGGCTCATTTTGGTCTCAAATTATGTCAGTGTAGGATAACACCCTTTCCCTTCCCACTGCCATCTATTTAATTCATTGTAAAATGAGGTAAGTTTGATTAGAAAATGAGACTACAGAGAAGAAAATGAGTAGGTCAGTCATTACAAGAAGAGAAACCTAGAGGAGTTGACATGTATCTATTCCCTGACTAGCTATTGCAGGTGAGGCACCTGTGCAAAACAGATACTCAATATCTCTTTATTAAACTGAGATAAAAAATACATCAACACCATTGCAATAAAATATTACCTATATATGTTTCTGCCAGTTCCAAAGGCATTTCTTCAGGTGGTACTTCCTGTTCAGCACCTTGACTAAGATATAGTCGCCTAAAAGAAGAAATAAGAGAAACAGTCTACTGATCAAATACTGTATTATGTGCTTACTAATGTCAATTTCTCTCCTAGGTGCTAGCGATATATAGAAAAAGAAAATAAGACATGGTTTCTACCCTTGAGCATAAACCCAGGTAGCTGGCAGGCAGTCCTGTAGTATTTTACCACAATCATTTGTACCACACTGGGTAACTAGCATAGCGTGAGAATTCTGGGAGCAAAAAGAAGTAGAACTGAGTTAATTTCAGGAAGTAGAGAAGGTTTCCTGAAGGACTCCTGAGTGGCATCTTTAAGAACCAGGAGATGATCAGCAAGGAAAAGCTTGGAGTAAGGGAAATGCACTCCAAAATAAGAAAATAACACATTTAAAGTCCCAGAAATGATAGTGAGCATGACTTCCATTAGGGTGCTGCTTCTGTAATTCAAGTGAGAATTGACAGTACCCAGAATGGGATGGATTTGACATGAGAAAGACCAGTAGGAACCCAAGATGCCATATGGGTCCTATCTCTGACTGAATGACAAGTTTTGTTTTACTACTACTGTCTCTGCTATTTACCAGTTGCTGTGATATAGGGCAAGTCAACTAGCCTTTTTGAGCTTATTTCCTTATCTGGAAAACTGAAGTAATAATACCTCCCCCCACCCGTGATAAAGTGATTAGTAAATTATATGCTTAGAAAATGGTAACTAGTATAGTACCTACTCTTTGATCCCTGGTCTTAGAACAAGAGTGACACATTTCAACCTCAAGCCCAGTGAATTGACATTGTATCCTGCTGCAGCTCTCTGTACATGTATTTAATTCTGTTATTTCCTTTTCAAACTGCCCACTGAATTTTTAATAAGGAAACATGCTTTGAAAGCTCTGAATGGCATTCCCTGTGACTTGCGTGAAAAGAGCAAATTGAACCTTTGCAGATGTGCAAACAATCACTCATGCTTAGCAAATTAGCAGCCCAACTAAATCCCCTGAATTCGGGTCTGTCAGTTAAAGAACAGAATAAAGTGTTATCTAGACACTTATGACTTTAGCAGCTATTGTAATTGCATATAGTATTTATATATGTAGAACCTTTTAAATACATGTTTATAGTACATAATTACATTCACTGCAGGGCGTTGATACATGTACATAACAAATCTTAATTCTTTTTTTTTAATTCCCATCCCTGTCCCTCCCCTTCCTCCCTCCCTCCTTCCTCTGTCTCTTGGTCCCCTTCCCATTTCCAAAAGTTCTCTCTCTCTGTTTCCTATTATATATCTTATACTTTGCATTTTAATTTATTTATACTTTGGGTTTCTCATATGTGATATTTAGAAACCATGTGATATTTAACATGTTTACTATGGGGATAAAAACTGGTTACAATGAAAAAGTGCAGAATGTTATGGAAGCATATACCAGGGACACCTAGCTTAGTTCTTAAAAATCTCATAGATTTTTTATAAGTGGAAAAGGGATCCAGAAACGGGTGGGAGAGGGAGGAGAGAGGAAGGATAATAAAAAGAATTAAGTACATGTACCTACCCCTTAAGATGAATGTAAATATGTACTGCAAACATGTACTAATAAAAAATTGAAAAAGATTTTGATTTTATTTCTTCCAACTCTGATGAACTAAAAACTCCATGCCTCTCACTAAAAAAACCAATCACTAAAGCACTCATGAACAATGTGGATTTTACTGAAGGTTTTTGTAGGGAAGATATAGAAGGGGTTAACTGCATACTGTACAGCAAACAACTTAACAAAAATTCTTAAAATTTTCTCATCTGAGCTGGGGATGTAGCCCAGTGGCAGAGTGTTTGTCTAGCATGTGTGAGGCCTTAGGTTTGATGCCAGCACTGGAAAAAAAAAATCACATCACATCTTCCTTCCTGCTCTTGCCAAGTCTTTTCTGGCCAATGAAAGAATTCCCTTTGTTATAATTATTGGCACTTCATATCCTTGTCAGCACCAAATCAAATATATCAGACTGAGCTGACTGAAGCAGAGAAGTCAAGTCAGCAACTTAGAAGGTAGCTCCTTCCTAAGATTTGGGCACTTTAGAAAATGAGGACAGCAACAGCTGGCAGAGATTAGACATGATCACATAGAAGGCAGTGGCAATGGAGGACAAGGATTAGAGGCAGGGCAGGAATGTCAGACCTAATGCTGGCAGGAAAGCCTACCCCTTACAGACCCTCCAGGGAATCAAGTCAAGAGCTAAAAATATAGGAGCCTAGTAATCAACTCATTCAGTTTCACCTCCTACATTGGCATCTACTTTTCCTGGTGCACACCATCATGGGAGATAGGTGGCCCCTTTCTCTATGCTGCCCTATCTAGCTTTCAGACTATAAAGTAATTATACTATCTCCCAGTTTCTCCAGTCTTGTATATCCAGCTCCTATCACGTAGCTTGGCAAACAAGGAACCTACAACTTAACTGCATCCATTCTTCTTGGAACACATTAAGAAGTTTGTAAATTTAAAAAAAATTGTCCAGGCATGGTGGCATACATCTATAATCCCAGCACTTGAAAGGCTGAGGTAGGAGGACTGCCATGAGTTCAAGGCCAATGTAGGCTACTTAGTGAGTTCAAGGCCAGCCTAAACTACATAGTAAGACCCTGTCTCAAAAAAAAAAAGTTTGTAAGGAATAAATGTCAAACAAGCAACAGGAACTATTTGGTTGGAACATTTTAACTGTTTTTCCTACTGTAATGAACAATATCTAATTTAGTTTCTAGATCTAGACACTTATCACCCATATTTGCACATATACACTCTACATTTGTGTAATTTCCCTTCTCTTCCTAAATGTGCTACGTTTTAGATTATTTCTTATTTTTTGACTATATATCCAAATTATGAACATTCACTTTGAATGTTAATTCCATATTTCAGGGCATATATATATATCCTAAAATACAAAGCTATGCATACATTTGATTTATCTTCCACAGGAACAAATGTGACTTGGAAACTCTGGCTATTTTTTCCACCTAAAAAGCAGTCTGTTTCATCAGAAGAAATAATTCCATGTTCACAAGGTAACCAGAAGTCCAGAACACCTCTAAGAAGCTTCCAGAAAGTTGATTTTTCCTTCCCTTGTGCTAACTCTGCACTTGTATATCTGTTGCACTGATATGCATTTAATTCATAATATTTCTCCTGTGAGCCTGGAGGGTCCTGAAGGTTGGCAGTTGTGATGTTCATGTTAAATGTTTTCTATTATGAGTACATTGCAAAGGGGAAAAAATAAGTGAAAGTTTACACTATACTTGATCTTATACCTTCATCATGGCTATTTTGTGAGTTCCTCAGGTTCTTTACTCTGAGCTATATCCCCAGCCCTTTTTCATTTTTCTTTGAGTCTCCCTAATTGCTAAGTTGCTCAGGGTGGGCTTGAACTTGCCATTATCCTACCTCTCAGCTTCCCAGAGTGCTGAGATTGCAGGTGTAAGTCACCATGCCTGGCCTTTTCTTTTTGACTATTGCATTCTGTATAGAGCAATGCAGAAGTAAATCATCATGTAAAAAAATTTACAGATACAAATATTTATAAAACACTTTCTAGAAAATATTAATGACTCACCTGGGTATTTTGAGATCCACAAGTCTGCAATTGAATAGCTGATCAATAAGCACCAAATTTTCTTCTTCCAGTTCATGAATAGTATTTTCTAATTCATCAACCTCAGTCCTGTGAATTGCAGTCTGTTCTCAGAAAAAAAGAATGGATGTTGGTACTTTTTGATTTAGTTCTATAAAGTCTTCTATAGCAAATTCAACTACTGAAAGTGCATTTGCCTGAGGAAAAGATCTGTTACGTATTATTTATTACTAAGTTAGCTTTGCCCTTCCTCTGTAGGAAGAAACAGGTATGCTACTTTTCTAGGTCTGTAGCAGAATTTGTTTCATGGTAAGGCAGTTATCATAGGAGAACAGAAGCTGCCCTTTCCTATGCTTCAAAAACTCTCATAAACGTATATGTGAACTAGAGGCAGAGATAAGAAAACAAAACTAACGAATTTAGCAACATGGTGTACTAGTAGCTAAATGAGACTCAAAGGGTAATCATAAACTACAATAAATGATAACACTTGGATAATGCTATATTATAGTATCTTTGAAAGAGATATATAGCCTTTTCTGTTTGCCTTCATAATATTATCGTGTTCTTTCTGAGTGATGATGCAGTTTGAGAAATGTCAGGTAGATGAAAGATTATTTGTTCATTCATTCAATTGTACACCTATTGGTGTGCTAGAATCTATATTACACTTTGGAAACAAATGAACAAGATAATAACCTAGGGCAGTAATGGCGAACCTTTTAGAGCTTTCAATGATACAAATAGCCTGCTGTGGTATGCATGCTGTAGGTTTGCACTTAGGATCTCTTAGCCTAGTGTGAAAATAGTGATGAAAATGGAAGACACTGTGATAAAAACCATAGTGGAAGCTGTCCAGCTGCTGTGAGAGGAGAAAGAGATGCACCCTATTTCTGTCAGATGTCAGAATAAAAGGAAGAATAGAGGAAATAGCATCTCATCTGGTCTTGAAAGGCAGGTAGGGATTCCCAAGGCAGAAACAAGAAGTTGCCTTTTACATAAAAGGAACCACATGCAAAATCACAATTATTTTGATATGGACATATACAAAGTATAAGTGGGGAGAAACAGAAAAGAAACTGGATAATTAGGGAAGGGACAAATAATGCTAAAGAACCTCATTTTTAGATAATGGCAAGTCATTGCTAGATATAGCACACTTAGTCGATGCTTACTAAAGAAATATGACTAACTCAAATTTGAACAAAATCTGCTCATGTTGGTAAGAGTTTTCTTAAGTCTCCTAAGTATATTTTGATAACTTTTGTCTAAAGGAGGCTTGACAGTGGAAAGACTATATGGAAGTCTGTTAAAATAGGACTCCCAACTCACCTTTTTGCCAGGCTAGGAAGTGATCATGGGGAAAGAGCAAAACAATAGAAGAATTAGAACTAAGAATATAAAGTAGAAAGTGATAGAGCTGGGTGTGGTGGCACATGCCTATAATCCCAGCACTCAGGAGGCTGAGGTAGGAGGACTGCTGAGCGTTCAAGACCAGTCTGGGCTACATAGTGAGTTCAAGGCCAGACTGAACTACATAGGGAGACACTATCTCCAGGAAAAAGAAGAAAAAAAGAAAGTGATAGGCTGGTGAGAATAATAGAAAAAGAGGAGGAAGTAATGAATTTTGAGGGAATGAGATGAAATTTTAAGTCACAGGGGTTTAGATTCAATATATCTTGTCAGGAGATGCCAAGAATGCAACTGAGATGAATACTTAAGAAACAACTAGGGCCAGGGATTTAGCTCAGCGGTTTTGCCGCCTGCTGGGCAAGCACAAGGACCCGAGTTCGATCCCCGGTACCAAAAGAAAAAAGAAAAAAAAAGAAACAACTAACATTTTCTGCTTTGTTTACTGAAACTTGTATTTTGTATTTTGGACTCTTGAAGTATTTGGCATATTACTACATGCATATCTCTATCACATAAGTCATTAAATATATGAATTTCTTTTTTGTTTTGTTTTTTGAGAGAGGATCTTGTTATGTGGTCCAGGCTGGCCTTGAACTTGCTAAGTTGCCCAAGCTGACCTTGAACTGATGGATCCTCTTGCCTCAGCCCCCAGAGTATGGTATTATAGGCAGGTGCCACCAATCCTGGCAAGAATATGAATTTTTATATGTGCAGTGTTCTGAGATAGACAATGAAGGATAAAAGGTGAATAAGGTATGATTCCTCCCCTCCAGACCACTTAGAATCCAGTGAACAAAAATACAATTAAAATGTAAAACAATACCAGTGTCATAGAAAAGGTTCAAATACTGCTAGTGGCTTAGAGTTGAAAGAAAAGCATATATTATTTACTGCCTCAAATAATTTAACAAAACCATTTAACTCCATAATACTAAATTACAAAGCTAAGGGTTGGTGTTTTAGGATCTTTTATGTTGCAAAATAATTAACTTGATTACAAACTTGGGTGCCTTAGGAAAAGTTTATGATTTTTTAAATGTCAAATATGAGAAAGAAGTTAGAGGTTATAAGCAGAAAAAAAATTAGAACACTTGAAAATGTTTGACCTAAGGGTTTGGCATGCTTGGGAGACAGCACACATAATTCTTGATCTCTATCCAAAGTTGAGAATGAGGTCCCTTTTGGAGGGTTATACCAGGGCTTCCACGGTAAGGATATCCTGTGATATCACCTCCCCCTTTAGAGTACTCAGTAATTTCTCATCAGTCGCTCTCTCTCTCTCTCTCTCTCTCTCTCTCTCTCTCTCTCCCAGTCTTTTGAAATGTTAGGGAAATAAAAACTAGTTCTTTTACATAGTCACATAAATATCTTTAGATTTTGGGGATAAGAAAGTGAAATGGGAAAAGTGAAGGACCACTTTCTTCCATATACTTAAGAAATATACAAAATTGGGAAAATTAACTTAGTTAAGACTAGTTTAAGTCAAGGACCTAGGATCCTGAATTAAATATATATTCTTGAAATCTTCTTCTGAGAGATCCATATGAAGATCCTTATGCCTCATCATAATTGACACTTTGCTAGCTTCCTTGAATCTTGTTTAATTTCTCTGGTTTTCTATATATTGAGCTAGTCTGTGTCATTTGAAAATTTCAATGTCCTTCATTTTCCTAATAAGCATGTGAAATAAAAACAGATAATGAAAATCATGCAACAGTATATCTCTGTATCCTTCCCAGAGATCCAAATTTTTGGTTATTGTTTACAGTTAAATAGAGAAATATTTTCAGTTCCATTATTAAATAAACTTTGTTACTCATTTGAAACCTTTCCCAAAGATATTCACTGACATACATTGTTCTGTTTCTGGGCAATTTCTAATTCTTGTGATAAAATGTATAACCAGAAATAGTTTTCATTAATTTTATGAGTAAATTTAATAAAACTATAATGAATATTTATTGAAACAAAAATAAATTAAGTCTATTGAATTTCCTTAAAATGATTTGTCCTTTATTACTAAGCTTTGTTTTTTTGCCTATGATTCAATTACATTTGACATTTTTTCTTTATTTTCATTGAATTATGAGAAGATAAAAAACATAATTTGTGGCTTTAACAGGAAGAGTCAAGCCACCAATATAGCATTTCTTATCAAATATAAATTTTTGTAATAAAATTTATTTTAAAAAATCAAATATAAATAAATAAATTTTTGTAGTCAATTTCCCTAAGCTTAAGATCTATGACACCCTATAAAAGTAAGAGTTGACTAGTTATTAAAGGATCATACTGTTTTACTTAATAAAAGTATAGGAAATTTCTCCCTAATGCTCTAGTAAGTCCACCTTAAGTTTTGGGTTTTTTTTTAGTTATCAAAACCTTGTGTTAAATTGGAGATTCATCCTTATAAGTTTCTGGGGACAGTATGAACTCTTCTTCACCGTGAATTTAAAAGGGAGTTGAAGATAGTTGTCAGTATCATAGAAAGCATATACATTTTAAAACAACTTGTTTCCTAGACTCACTAAGTCTACTTAGTCACATAAGAAACAAGGAAAAGGAAACAGGAGAAGCTGACAGATTTCTATCTGGAGTGTCTGGGCAGATGGTGAAAAGGAAATGGAGGAGGAAAAAGTTTAAGGGTGTGTTAATGCATCCTGCTGTAGGTATGCTGAGTTTGAATATCCATGTGGAAATATCAAGCAGGCAAATAAAATGTAGGTCTAGAACTGAGGAAATACTAACTGAAGATGTGCACTTGATAATCATGAAAAATTAACTTGCTAATGAGACCTACATGTACTGTAGTGTGAAGTGAGTTTTCCCAAAAAGTAGTGAGTTTTGTTTTGTGGATAGCATTTAAGCACAGGCTGTGTGCCTACTTCTCGGGATGTAAAAGGAATTTCAGGAAGTAGAAGGGTGATTGAGCTAGGTAAGTCTAAGGTAGTGCTGCTCTCAGGACCCAGAAACACCCAGGGTTCGGTGACTTACCCTGGAGGTAGAATACAAACCTGTCTGTATGGCACAAAACCAACTCCTCAAAGAGGCCCCTTTTCAAGTTCCTGAGCACCTCTGAACGACTAGAGAATCAGACATTGAAAGATTGTAACTAGAAGACTGCACGGCGAGGTTTATGTTTTAGAAAGATGTCTCTGAGGTAAGGTAAAGGAGAAGGGAAATTTCTGGTCTAAGGGGAGGAAAATCATGTATGACACAATGGAAGGATTTGTGTAAGCAATAATGAGGGCCTGAACTAGGGCAATGACAACAAAGTAGAGGAGAACTGGTTGAAAGTAGAACTGAGGGTCTAGAGGACTTTGGGATTGGGAAGTAAAAGGGCATTTCTAAAAAACTCCCAAATTTCTGGCTTGGGAGAGATCCTTAATTGGGACAGAAAACATAAGAGAAAGCAGTTTGGGCCAAGGGAAAAGATGAATTCAGTTTAATAGTGTGCGATGTCTGTGGTGCATTAGGTGGAGTTGCACAGCTGTTTGTTGAATATCTGAGTTTAAAACCTGGAAGTGAGATCAGTTGCAGTCTGGATGCTTTTTAGGCCTGCAACACAATTCTCAGACATTTCTTCTCTGATCTATTGGGAAATACATTGTTTCCTGTTTTCTCTTAGTTTACTATCTTGTTTTGCTAAAGCATACTGGTAAATAAATTACTGAGGAAGATTTAGAAGTAAATACACTGAGCTGTTGCATTTCTGAGAATAGCTGTATTATACCCTTAAACTACTCTTGCTGAATATAGAATTCCAAGTTGAAAATAATTTTTCATTTGTGGTTTGCTACTGAAAAACTGAATCCCAGTTTGGTTTTTATTGCTTTGCAGCTAGTACCCTTTTTATCCCCACTACTTTTTGACAGAAAATTTTAGTATTTTCCTTTTGTGTTAGTGTTCTAAAAACTGATGTCTTTTTCAGCCCACAGAAATTTTCTTTTGTTACTCCACTGATTATTTCCTTACCTCTATTTTTTTCTTTCTGGAATTGTTATTCTTGGATATTATATATCTTACATTAGTACTCTATATCTCTTATCCCTTCTTTTTGGTATTAACTTTCCTGTTCTCAGTGATTTTTCTCTGTTTCTTATTTTTTAATCTGTATTTTGTGCTACTGGGGATTGAATCCAGGACCTTCACATAGCTACATCCCAATTCCACCCCCCTTTTTCCTTTCTTTTTAAAATTTTGAGACAAGGTCTTCCTAAGTTGCTAAGTTGCCAAGTTGCCCAGGCTGGACTAGAACTTGTGATCCTCCTGCTTCCTTTTATTTTTCATGTTCTAAAAGCTCATGTCTTTTTCATCCCACAGAAATGTTTTTCTATTACTCCATTGATTATTTCCTTCTCTCTGTTTCTTTTTTTTTTTCTGGGAATTATGGGCACACACTACCCCACCCTGCTAATTTTATTGTTTTTGTCTTACATTATCTTATTCTCTAAATTATATGCCTTCTCAGATTTGTTAAAAATATACTCCCTGAACTATTTATACTTCTTTCAGGGACAGTTTTTGTTACTGTTCGCTCTTTACTTTGTTGTTAGTTTCATTTGGTTTTTCTCTTCTTCTAGGATGGTTGTATTTATATGCTTAGTTATCCTTGGTTGTCTATTCATGTTTGAGAAAGGTCTGAGGAATGGTGTTTTCTCTATCACTGTGTAAATAGGTCTGTTCCTGTTCCCCTAACAAGTTCTTCCTCAGACTGGGAGTATGGACTGTACATAGTACATCATGGAAGGTGGACTGACAAACTGTACTTTAGATGAGAAGGCAAGAGTAGGATATTAGATTGTGGCCTCCTAAATGCCATTATAGGAAGGACATTTTGCATAGTAACTAATAATGTCTACATGAGAAACCTTAGCTTTTATCAGGTAATTTGTTCAGTGTTCTCAGAACACAGCCTTCAGGGTCCTAGTCTAAGGGTAAGCACTTTTGATCTGTGTGAGGGGAAATGGTAGCAGGTCCTGAGGAATGCTTACTGATACAGCTCATCATATAACATTTTGCTTCAGTTCCTATTCCTACTATCCATCATATACACAGACTCTCAGCAGAGAATCTCCCAGGTTTCCAAAAGCAGATTCAGTTTGTACATTCTCTGAAGTATTCTTATACCATCTGGATTAAATATCAACTGATGGTTTCATGCTTTCAACAACGTGCTTGCACATCTGCCTTTTGTCTTCCAGAAAATTGCTGTAACCTCACCAGCTAGTTAACTTCTATTCTCTTTGTGGATGAGTTCCTTCTTCTACTTTTATAATTTTATTTCAGTGGTCCCTCAGGAGAGACAGGATACAATCTGCCATCTTAAAGCACAGCATAAACAGTTCACAAAGGTTTTACTGTAACTTTTCCTTCACCCAGGATCAAATATATATATTTGATTCATCGCTCCAATAAGTATATCTACAGTCATTGACATGCATTAATTAATAGACATAGACTATTTTTCAGGTGTCATGGACCTAGAGTTGAAAAGATAGAGCTTGCTCTGTGTAATAAGGACACAGATGCCTAAGCAGATAATTTCAACATATTTTGACAAGAATTCAGTGCAGCATGAGAACACTGGAGAAGACATATTCAGAGCTTCCTGAGGGATTCACAAGGAAATTGGTCATCAAAGTTTGTGCCTAAAGGAACAGTTGGAGTTCTCCAGGCAGATGAGAGTAAGGAGAGAAGACTAGAGGGACCAGTATGTACAATTTAAGGAAAAGAGGACAGTACTGAATAACAAAGCAGTATCATCTCAAAATGTGAATAGTGTAGAGAATGAAATACCCTGCTCTAGAAATACTCACATGGCCACATCTAGCAAGAACAGTTCTGCATCACTGTATAGGGAGACAGGTAGACAAGTGAGTTTAAGGCAGCACACATGGGCTCTGCAGTTTCTGTTCTTCCGAAGGAGTAAAGGATCCTTAAGATCAGATTTGGGTGAGATATAGAGGCTTCATTGGGCAGGGACATCTTGAATATAAGCCAATGGCTGCATTGTGGATTTGGTGTTGGCTATAACGCAATGTTCAAAAAGCCAAAACAGTCCATTTCAGAAGTCACCAATATACTGAGAAGATCAGTATTAGAGAAAGGCAAGGATCAAGTGTGCAACTAAAGGAAATGTCATAAATCTGATAGCAGCATACCCACAAAAAATCATGTAAGACCCCCTTCCCTATCAAGGTGGGACATCAAGGGACCACCTTGGAGAATATCAGGGGAAAGAAAGAAGTCTGACAGACTGAACACTTTTTCCAATGAAGACCACATCATCCAAAAGAGACAATTTAAATTAGCAGTTAGGATGGTCCTCTACCCATCACCTAGAGGAAGTAGTACATGAAGGAACTGTACTTCAGTAGATTGTAAACTTAACAATTATTTTTGATTATTATTGAGATTATGATATGTGATGAATAACAACTTGTAATAAGATAGTCTTTCCTTCAATTACATTTATCTTAGTCAAAGTTCAATACTTTTCTGATGACTTCAGTTTATAATTGAAATTTATTTCCAGTTCAAAAACAATGAGAAAAATTGTTTAGTTAAATTCTACCCACCTCTCTTTTTAGCCAGTCATTCTCCAAGATCTCTCGATAACTACCCCTGTCAATGAAACTGACAGCATTCTGAAATAAGGAAGATTGCCACATGGTAATTCACAATTTTAGCAATGAAGACACACATTCATTTTATTTATTTTTTGTTAAGTTTATTGGTACATTTTAGATATATATAATGATCACATTCATAATAGGAGTTGGTACCTGTATGTGATATATCTTAATTCCTCTTTTCATTCATTTTAGATTATGTTTTGTAATTACTTTGAGAATGTGTAAGATCTTTTTGTTTACTTCTTTCCTTACTATCCTGTTACACTTTTGGGGCTGATTTACACATTCTACTAGAGATGACCTGGAGAATTGGACAATGTGTGATTGTTCATTTAGCCTCCACTGTTACTGAATCTGCTGTGGTGACATCAGTAATTAAGTGATCTGCTCATAACTAAGATGGTTAAACTGTAGTGATCAAACATTTTTTTGTAGTCAAATATAACTCAACATACAGCAAATTTTTTGTGTGTCAGTAGTAACATTCATGTTTACAAATCTAATAGCAAGTGGTTTCAGGGTAGCAGGCTACAAGCTACACAGTTTTCTAAGGAAAGGCATTTTAGACTATGAAAATAGGAAAAGCCTTGACAGTAGGTTCATAAAATGGATATTTGTTTTCAATTACTTAGATATTTATAGTTTCACCCATAAGAATTTTATAGCAGATGACACTGTATTTTTCTGGAGATGCTTTTTATATAGAAATTATGTTACAGATTCAATATTCAGTAACTGAAGGGCAGAACCAAAGGGAGAACACCTAAGAAAAATATTCTAGGGGGAAAAAAAGAAAAATATTCTAGATCATAAATGTGGACAGAAATAATTTAAACGTATGTTAAAGGTAAATTTATCTTTAAATCTTTAGAGTTGGAAGATTTTCAAATAAAAAGATCTTTAAATCATGCTTATTAAACTAAGAGTGGACTTGTATTTCCTAGGAACCAGGAACTTCTGTACTTCAACTATAACAGTTCTAGTTTCCTCCGATACAAAATTTCAACAAAAGTAGGAAATAGTTTCTTACTGAGGTTAGTTGACTAAATAGCTTAATTCACTTACAGTGGAGGAGTGGCTTCAACTTTGGCTACACATTAGAATCTCTAGGGAGCTATGAAAAATCTATAAATCTATGCATCATTCCAGGGCAATTACACTAGCATCTCTATGAGTGGGACTCAGACACTACTGTGGTTAAAAAAAAAATTGCAGGCGACACACCCACGTTTAGCTAAGACTACACAGCACTGGATTATAGGAAGTTGAACTGTAATGCTAAAATAGCCAAATAAGAGGAGGAAAATTCATTCAAGCATGTGAGTGTTCAGCATTATGTAGAAAAAAGATAACATATGGTGTAGTGATTATGAGCAATAATTTGAAGGAGATCTGAATTGGATCTTAGTTCTCCCACTTGCTCTGGGCAAGTCATACTATTTCTCTGTGTCTTACATTCCTAATTAGCAAGTTCCTATACCTTTTAGGGTTGCTGAGAGACTTATATGTAAAATGCTTATAAGAGTATTTGAGTCACTTCTCATGACATGCTTCAAGTTAGAGGCTTATTTCTTTTACATGTGCATTTTTAATAATCAACTATATCAATGGTTGATTTTACCATTTAGTCAGATTCTGTCACCCAGTTGCATGGGCAGACAAACCATTGATCAGTTCCATACTGCTCTATGTTTGTATAAATTAGTAAAAATTGTGTGATAGGAGAGTAACATTGTAAGAACAAATGAACTAACAGGGGTACAACAAACAGCAGCAACTGAAATTCTGAAAGGACTTTTAAAAAGACCAGATATTTATAATTCTGAAGAAACATGGCTCTAGATAAAGGAACATTCCCATACTGATTTAGGAAATAGTTTAGAGATGGGGGCGGGGGGGAACGACAAACATATTTTCTGTAAAAGAAATTAGAGAACATACACAATTAGAAATTTTATCTCAAAAAATATTTTACATCCCAAACTTTTTAAACAACAGCAACATAGAGAGTGCTTATGCTCCTCGGTTTGGATGTGTATCAAAGTATTTTTCAGACAAATTATTTTTCATTCTATAACTCATTCAAAATATTTATTTTAATTTTTTGCTAAAATCATGATCATTGTACTTTAAAAATCACTAATTGCTTCTTGTGAGACTATGCTACTTAAATTATCTCATTCAATCCTCAGGCTATTTAAGGTTAAATACTATTAGTGTTTTTATAAATTAAAGAACATAAGCTCAGTAAAATTAAGTAACAAACTTGTTTATGCAGCCAGTCAAAGGTAGAACTGCAATTTAAACTCAAACTGCTTAATTCAAAACCCAGATTCTTAACCACTAAAATACATTGCACTAAAAAAAAAAAATTTTTTTTGGTGTGGTGCTGGGCATTGAACCCAAAGCCTTCACACTCAGCTACATCTCTAACCTCCCCCGACCCTTTAAAATTTTGAGCCATGGTCTTTTTTTTTTTTTTTTTTGGTACCGGAGATCGAGCTCAGGTCCTTGCGCTTTCGAAGCAGGCGGTGAAACCACTGAGCTAAATCCCCAGCCCAAGCCATGGTCTTCTTAAACCCAGGCTGGGCTGGTATGGTATTTGTGATCCTACTCCCTCAGCCTCCCAGAATGCTGGAATGACAGGCATGTGCTACCATGCCCAACTACAATATTATTTTTTGTCAACAAGAATAAAGGGGAAGTTTTAAGAAAATTAAAATATACCATCTCCAGCCATACCACCCTGAACGTGCCCAAGCTCATCTGATATATACCTGTATGGCCCATTCCTTCTTTTGGTCCAGTTGCAGCAAAGTGTCCTTGATTATTCTCTTTCTAGCATCTTCCAGAGTGATTTTATACTGTTCTTTAAAGAGAAAATCAGAAGTCTTAACAAGACTGATCCTAGGTAAAACTACGATGTTAGTAAATTTTACCTTTCACTATCCTTACCGCTCCTTTCTACCCATTTTTTCCTCTGAATCCTTAGAGTACATTTTTACTGAAGCATCTAGCTCCTCCAGTTAGAGAAAATGCACAATAATTTGTAAAATCTTTAATGTGAATGACTCTAAGATCTCCAGGAATGTTTGTGTTTTCAAAGGATTGTCTCTCCAAGAGAGAATTTTAAACACTTTAATACTTATGTGACAAGTTATCCTATGGCCCACACAACTTATGAATCCACAACAAGATAATAAAGAAGATTTTATTATCTGCTTGAGTAACATCCTGTACATCTGATTCCATCTAACAAGATTTCCAATATTCATGCCATTTCCTGGGGCAGGACAGACAGAATGAGAAGAGGAATATGAGTAGAGAGGGTGTTGGGAGTCAGGAGATCCAACTGTATGTTGCATTCACAGCAAGAGAGGAGGACAGAGACAATGTGCAGGGCTCTCTATCCTCTCCATGTTTTCTTATGCTTGTAAATGTCATTATTGAGAGAGGAAAGAGTCATACATTTTAGACCTCAAAAGCTGCTTCGAAAGCATAAATAATTTTTAAGGAAATTGAGGCACAGTGACATTAATGCTGCTTTAGATGGGGGAGAGAAATAAAGCTAAATAAAACAGCTCAGTTTCTTCATTTTTAAAAATAATATCAAGATCTTTCTATATGCCAGACATTACAGAAGAGACTGGGAATATTTATGACTGAGACAAAATCCCTACCTTTATGATATGTATACCCTTAGGGAGAAGGCAGACCATAAATAAGAAAACAAATAATTTTTCAGTTGGTGATATGTGTGATGAACAAAAAAATCTCTTTCACATAGGGTGATCAGAATAAGCTTTTTTGAGGAAATGGGTGCTGTAGTCAGAAATGTGAAATATGAAGCAACTGTCCTGCTTCAAATGACTTAATCTGACAATTAGTAAAGTTAATTGTGTTTTATTAACACAATGTTATACATCCCATTAGCGGTATTCTATTTGTAACATATACAAGGTAATTATTTGGAAAGCAAGATGTATTTTCCAATACAAACAGTGTTGAAGATCATGGCTGCTAGAATTCCAGACAGGTCCATAGAAACCTATTTAACTTCTTTAAATAAAAATGTACAAAGAATGCTGTAGAACCTAATTGCCATTAAGAATATTGTTTCAGTGGGAATAATTCTTCACAGACCAAGGCAGTCAAAGTAGAATTCTTGAGATCTTATACTATAGGAAAAACATTGTGCAAGTCTTATCTTCCAACATTCCAGGAGGAGATGCTGGAAGAGCAGCTGCTGGAAATGTGAGCCTCTTGGAGAATATCTGAAGACTCTCATTTAAAGAAGAAGAAATTAAGACTTAAAGGAATAATGTTTCTTTTTTGTAAGTGCACTTGAACCCAAATCTTTTTTGTACCAGGGATCAAACTCAGGACCTTGTGCTTGCGAGGCAGGCAGCGGAACCACTGAGCTAAATCCCTGGTGAACTCAAATCTTTTAACTCACTTTTAGGGTACAAAGAAGTTTTAAGGATCTCTGTCCTACGCCTCTGGTGAAGTAAAAAAATAAACATGCTGTGTGACTGTATCTACTGATTTATAATAAACATGTACCTTCTCTATTCCTGGGCCTACTCTAAGTTGTTCTTTCCCTTTTTTGAGGAGAAATATCCTTATCCTGGGTATTTCAGTGACTGTTTTTTGTTTTTGTTTTTGTTTTGTAGCGGCGATTGAACTCGGGTCCTTGCGCTTGCGCAGCTGGCGGTGAAACCACTGAACTAAATCCCTCGCCCTGTGACTATTTTCTATACCCAGTGCCCCAACAGCTCCTTGAGCTGACACAGGGAAGCAGTTTAGGGTGCTTTCTTCTCCTGCCCCCAGGCCTCACAGGTGGCTAGTAAAGAAAGTAGGGTTGAACAACTGACCAAAGAAGTTTGTTTGGGGCTGAGCAGTGACCCACCAGGAGGCATGGGCAAACATCTTTGGTCATTTCTGATTAGGTAAATGATGACACCAGCTCTCTTCAGAATCTAGACTAGAGAATATTTTACTAAAAGGCTTATCTGTCAGAAGCAAGCAGAGAATGGGAACAGGTCCCCAAAGGAGAGGTGCCCAGAGATGGATGGTCTCAAATTATGAGATAATGTTGGGAGGAGCCATCCCTAGAGCCACCACTGAATCTGTGGCCTCTAATTCTGTCTTCAGTCCTCCCATTTTTACTGCAGGTTGCCATCTAAAAGCAATGCTCCATAGAAGGTCAAGTAATTTTATTTTCTTTCTTCCTTTTAAAATACTATTCATACTGTGTGGCTAGTGATTTCCTCTCAACAAAATATATGGGAAATCCTATGACTTGTCAGTTACTTAGTAGTAATAAAAAGGTCTTCAGATAAATACTTAATATGTCCAATCTATTACAATCATCAAAATTTTAAAGTTCATTAAAAGTTATGGTGAATCCTCTTTGCTAGCTTGGACCAACTGCTATTTCCTCTACCTTGAGCCTCCATGCCCCTTCTTTGAGGAGGCAGCATGAAAAAAAGCTCTTACCTGGCTGATACTGTCTCAAACTCATGTTCACTTCCTCTCCTAGTCAGCATTCAAGGCTTACTCCCCTCTCTCATGGAAATGTTTTTATAGGCTCCTTGGAGGATCATCTTCCTCATTTCAAGTTGTGGCACTCACTCCCTTGAAGCAGAGGACATACTGTCCTTGGAAGATGGTAACAACTTTTGCTTTGACCCTGGCCCTCAACACTGTCCCCCTAAGACACACACACACACACACACACACACACACACACTCACACTCACACGTTTTCTGAAGGCTCACAGTTGGCTGTGCTGATAGCAAAGAGAAATTAACAACTCAGTACCCATTGTTTTATTCTATCAAATGAATGCCTTTTGAAGATCTTTTATTGAATTTGAGCTAGTTTTATTGCAACTGACCTGACATTTTCTCTGCATTCTCTTTAACTTTATTGATGTCATTTTGTAAGGAGGTAATGAGTTTAGCATGTTGTTCACTCCCTACATTCTTGTACTCTTCCCAATATTCCTTTTCACCGAGTTTCTCAAGAAACAGTTTCTCAGCATTATTTATTTGTGTGCACATATCTGTTGGAAAGAAAATTAAGACACTGTGTAATTTCAATTGAGCCACTACTGTTGAAATTAAGTCTGATATTAAAATGCCATTAGCTTATAAATATTATTTTATATATACAATTTTTAGAAATCTAAACTAAACTATTATCTGTCCATAATTCAAGTAAAATTAAATTCCCAATTATAAAGTACATCCCAGCACTCTTCGAGGCTGAGGCAAGAGGATTATAAGTTTGAGCCCAGCCTACAGAATGTAGCTCAGTGTGAAGGCCCTGGGTTCAATCCCCAGTACAAGAAAACAAAACAAAACAAAACAAAACAAAAATAATTTGTGATTTGGGTTGTGATTGTCTTTCTGTCTGTCTGTCTATTTATCATCTCCATATCCTCCCTAGGAAATTGCAAGTTTAAATATTCTCATGACAGCTTAATAATCATATGATTTGGGTACAATGCCTTATATCATTGTGGTGGTATTCTTTACTAGTAAATAGTCATTTTTCTGGCCATTATGCCTCTGGGTAAAAGTGAGTTCCACTTACTTCCTTTTCAGGTTCTTGGTAAACCTGTTTTAAAGTAAATGGTTAGTTCAGTCATCTAAAGTTTTATTTGTTTGGGCTTTCCTTGTATGAAATGACAACATATAACATGTCTCTCCCATTCCCCCACTTAGTAAGACTTCAGAGTGAAACATAAACTCCTTAATTATGTACAAGTATTATACTGTTTCAAACATATAAACTTTTAGTTCCCCGGTGCATTTGGTAAGCATGCTATTATTCAGTCTTTAGGCCCCAGTATAATATCACTGAATACTGTACTTTTTTTTTTTTTTGTACTGGGGATCGAACTCGGGTCCTTGCGCTTGTGCAGCAGGCAGCGAAACCACTGAGCTAAATCCCCAGCCCTCAATACTGTACTTTTGAAGAGGAAGCATTACACAGAACCACATCCAAGGAGCTTATAGGATGTGTGGCTACTACCACACACCACCTTGTTTGAAAGTTACTTGAGGGGAAGAGCCCGTCTTATTCATCTATGTAAATCCAGCCCTTGGCACAGCCTTGAAATTAGTTGGTACTCTTATTGAGGTAAGAAGTATGCTCTTCAGTCCACAAGTCTAAAAGGACCCAAGACATGCTTTTTTTAACCAAAGATATATATCTCTATACATCTCTGTGCCCAGTCCAAACCACAAACAGGCACCCCTCAACTTGGCCTAGTCTCAAAGGAAGTTAAGTTTTGCACAACTGAGCATCCTTGGGCTCTCACAACTCAAGGGACTTATTAAAGTATTACTTTTGTGCTAGTTAATCTTAATTGTCAACTTGACTGGATTAACAGTCTTCTGGAGAGGTGATTGGTTCATGGGGGCACTATACTCGCAAGTGGATTAATCTACTGATGTTCATAGCTGATGTGCTATTAGGAGTTGAGGCCCAGTTGAGATGGGTCACTGGGAAAATGTGCCTTTGAAGGGTTTATCTCTTGCTGGTGTTCTTCCCCCTTTCTCTGCTTCCAGGCTGCCATGAACTGAGCAGCTTTGGTCTGCCAGGCCTTTCTGCTAAAGCCCATAGAGCCACTGAACAACAAAATTTCACAAAGAACAAATCTCCAATCTGAGGAGAAGCTCAGCTTGGTATCTAACAGGATACTATCCAGTGCTAAGAGTCAGTTGGATTTCATCTGTCTTTGTTTTTTTATCACTGCCCTTACTCCTCCTCACTTGGCTGCAGTAACTCTGCCCACTTTTATTATTTCCCTCTCCTGTCCATTTACCTACATGTGTTTGTGGGTGTAGTGGTAATGATGTCATTTGAAATAAACACAACACATTGGAGGACAAAAGCATTAATACATTTAAGAAATAACTGATACAACTTATGTGTCAATTTCCTAAGTTACTAAATCACCTCTCAAGTTCTTTTCCTGGTTTCTTTCAAACTCCCATTTTTCCTTCATTGACTCTTCAACATCCTCTCTTGTTACAACTGGTAATCCATCTGACTTCTTCTCATTCAGTTCCTTTAGTAGATTCTTTATGTGCCAATTCTGTTCCTCCTTTAAGCGTCTATTCTGTCATGAGAATCAACAGTAATTAACAATATTTCCTGAACTATTTACATTGTTTTCCCAAAATAGAAACATATACTGAGGTTTGCAAAGTGAGAAACATTAATTAGATAAATTATACAGTAATATCTGTAGAAGGTTATGGGCCACTTAAGACTCAAAATCTATCAATGCAATAACCACCGGATAGAATGTTACATTTAAAAACTGTACTGCTAATCTACCAGTCTATCATGCTGTCATAGGATCAATGAACATCAAAGCTAAACCTTGGAAGTCAGTGTTTTCAGTCTTCCACCAACACTGTTCTTTTCTACCATTCCTTATTCATCTAGTCATTTACCATGTGCCAGGTAGTATGTTGGATACCAGGGCTGAATCAGTGAAAAAAACAGAAAAGAAATTACTGCTTTTGTAGAACTTACATTATTGTTTGCTTTTTTTCCACAAATGACCCTAATTCTCTTTTAGTAGGATTACAGGTAATTACCATTAAAAAATTCACACTTGAAATATGGACCAGGTTATTTTTGTAGCTAGTCCATTCATGCTCATAAGCTGATTTTTTTTTTTTTTTGCTCTGGAAACCATTTTTATTTTTTTTTTCCCCATTAATTTTATTGGTACATTTTAGGTATAAAATACAGTTACATTCATCATTGGGATCTTGTACCATTACATGAGTCTCTTGGTTCTTTTTTTTTTTCCCCTTCCCTTGCCCTCCCTTCACCCCCTCCACCCTTCCCTATTTGCAAAGACCTTGTTTCCATTTTTTTCCTTTTCTCATATTTTTTCCTTTCCCTTTTTTCCCTTCCCCTACCCCTCCCAATTACTCTGCTTTTTTAGATCTTTTCTTCCTGTTACACAATATCAGTTATACATTTTTAAAATTACAATATTAAGATCTAGGAGACATTACCACAGATTTTACAGAATTTAAAAGGATATAGAAAGCATATTACAAAAATCTTTTTTTGAAATAAATTTGACAACTTCTAAGAACTTGGAAGACAAATTAATGAAACTAACTCTGGAGGAAATATAAAATTTGAACAGCACCTATTAAAGAAAGTATATTGCTAGCTTGAAAACCTACCTATATGACAACAGCAGGCTCATAAACATTTTAACTGATAAATTATATCAAACAATTAAAGCAGAAAAAAGAAGGAACACTTCTCCCCTCATTTTAGGAACTCAACATTGTATAAGCTGATTATTTAATCAATTTAAAGTTTATTCTCTTCCTTGCTATCTTATAATGTGTAAAACGTAATCATGACAAAACTTTCCCTGTAATAATTACAAGGTGAGGAGAACTAGACAGTAACCTAAATCCATGAGAGAAAAAATAAGTGCATCAATAAAGATAACTACGTAGGCAAGTATGAAAGGCAAAATAAATGTATTTTTATGATTTTCCCTGTTTAATGTTTGCTTATTTGTTTTTTTGGTACTGGGGATTGAACTCAGGATCTTGTGCTTGTGAGGCAGGCGGCAGCACCACTGAGCTAAATCCTCGGCCCCAGCCCCATTTAAAAGAGAACTCCATAATGCAATAATTATCAATCTATGTTCATGGGCACACAATGTATAAATGTATTATCTATGATGATAAGAATACAAATGAAGAGGGAGGAAATGGAACAATGTTTTTGTAGTTATTGAAATTAAGCTGGCATTAATCTGAACTAGATTGTCATAAATTAAGATGTTAGGAATCCTCAGGGAAACTACCAAGAAAATATAATAAAAGAAATATAAGAGAAGTGAAATGGTACACTAGGAAATATTTAATATAAAAGGCAATAATAGTAGAGGAACAAAAAGAACATGAGACTTAGAAAACAGCAAAATGTCAAATGTAAATCTTATTGATAATAATTATATTAAATGAAAATGGGTAAAACATTAAAAGGAATAGCTTTGCAGAATGGATGTTTTAAAAAATAACCAACTGTATAATTTCTATGAGACACACTTTAGAGTCAGAAGAACAAGTAGGCTGAAAGTTCGAAGAAGAAAAAAAGATTTACCATACAAACAGCCCAAAGAGCTGATTTATGAAAAAAAATTGCTACTGAAGACACAAAGGGCATTATATAATAATAAAACAGTGAAATCATCAAAAAGATATAACAATCAGAAACATATATGGCCTGTATTGGGTATTAATGTCATCCTAAAATTCATGCCCATTCAGAACTTCAGGATATGAGTTTATTGGGAATAGTATTTGCAAATGTAATTAGTTAAGATAAGGTCATACTAGATTAGGATGAGACCTAAAGCCAATAACTGGTATTTTTTATTAAAAGGCAGTATGAAAACAGAGACACACGCACACACACACGCATGCATATACATGGGCAATGTGAAGGTAGGGACAGAGATTGGAGTGATGTTTATATGGCAAGTAATGCCAAGAACTGCTGGGAATACCAAAATTCAGAGATGGGATGATTTCTGCTAGAAAACTTTCAGAAGGAACCAGTCTTGCCCATGATGTCCTTAAACACTGATGTCAACATTTTGATTTTCAAGTTCTGGCCCCATGAACTGTGAGAGAATAAATTTCTGGTTTTTTAAAGCACACAGTTTGTGGCAATCTTTTATGGCAGCCCAAGGAAAGTAATTCATACTGTAACAATAGAACCCAAAAATACACAAAGGCAAACTCCCATCCATGCCCAATAATAATGAGAATCTCCCCACCCTCAGGTGTCAGTGAAGGCCAATAGTTTAGGGAAACCTAAACTATTTTTACCGACCAGTAACAAGGTGACATCCCCACTTTACCTGTCAGAGTGATGTAAATGTCAATAAAATCTAGATATAGTAAAAGGTTTTAAATAAGATCCAGAACCTCATAACAACACAAAATGTCCAGGTTTTAATAAATCACTCATCATACCAAGAATCAAGAGGATTTCAAACTGAATGAAATATGATAATCAATAGCTGCTAACACTAAAGTGACTGATATACAAAGATTTAAAGCATCCATGATAAAAATGGTTCTCCATGAGCAATGATGAACATGCTTGAAACAAAAATGTGGAAGGGCTCAGCAAATCTATAGAATATACAAAGAAGAATCAAATGAAAATTTTGGAGCTGAAAAATATAATAAGATATACCTGCCAATGTGCAAAAATGTTTATTTTTGCTTTTCTGGCATCATTTTTGCCATCTTTTTTTTATTAGTACACATTTTCAGTACATAATGTTTATATTTGTTGTAGAAAGTTGGTATATGTACATAATACATCTTAATTCCTTTTTTCATCCCCTTCCCCCTTTCTCCATCTCTTGATCCCCTTCCCATTTGAGAAAGATCTATCTTCTTACTTCCTATTATTTATCTGTTTATTTATATTTTGGGTTTCTCATATAGGAGCTATCATCAAGAAGGCAAGTCATAACAAATGCTGGTAAGGCTATGGAGAAAATCGAACCATTCTACATTGTTGGCGGGAATGTAAACTAGTATAACCACTATGGAAATCAGTATGGAGATTCTTCAAAAACTTAAAACTAGAAATTCCATTTGACCCAGGTATTCCCCTTGTAGATATTTTCACAGAAGAGTTAAAGACATAATATTAGAGGGACATAGGTATACCCATATTTATAGCAGCTAAATAACTAATAGCTAAATCTTGGGAGCAGCTTATGTCTATCAACAGATGAATGGGTAAAAATGTTTATTCTATGAAGAAAAGCAAATAATTATCAAGATAAAAATATAGAAAAAGTACGTTTAATAAATAAGCTACCAAAAAAGGAATGATTTTATTTTCATAGAAGGTCATATCATTAGCTTTACTCTTTTAGCTTTTAAGAACTTATAAGAACAAGAATAAGAAGTTTCTGAGGGAAAGTGAGCCAGTCCCAGCACCCAGAAGGAGGCTCCCCCGCCACCATTCCATGCTCCTAGGGCAGAGAAGGTGAGATGCTTGGGCGCCAGAA